GCCCCCCACAAGCTGCATTGTTGAGTCGGCTTCAAGATGTATCCCCTCAACCTGTACAATACCCAAAGGTGGTGCAATCCAGTGATGTCCATGATTTCTTGTCCTATTGCTGTGTTGTATTTGAAGAACTTCCAAGTGTCGCTCCTCCACGAGTCTCCCTCTACATGCATTAATATTATCGCTGGAGTGTGTTGGGTGCCTTCGAATATATCCTTGCATCCGTGCACCCACAGTAGCCAACATATGTTGCCGAGAACTTTAATCCAAAGCCAATTTGATAGCAGCCTCCTCCAATCTGGTGTTTTGTGTTCCTTTTAATCCATTCTGCAAACTGTATGAGAAAAAATGGTAACATAGACAAGATTAATAATTTCCTTCATGTGTTTTTTGCACTCAAACAATATCTCAAAATATGTATTATGCTTTATTCTTGGTCACACTCAAATGAACATAAAGCATTAATGGTAAAGCCCCTTCTCACTTTTGGTTGGTTATTAGGAATTCTCTATATAACCTGCCAAAAGAAGATTCAATTTTTCCGAAAAAGGCTTTTCCACAATGGATTTCTGTCAGCTAACATGGTGTTCTCGAGAAACTTGTAAGTTAAACTAACCAAAAACCTTCCATCACTTGCATTACTACACCAAAAGGAATCATGATGAGTCATGTGAGGTTGGACTAGAGGGATTTGATTAATTGTATCCATAGAGAAGTGTTGGTACAGATAATTTCTATTCCAAAAACTGAAGGAAGAAGAAAGTCACAGACCATCGCGTTTGGGTTTATGGAAAATCGAACTTAGTCACGTACTCAATCAAGGCTATTCAAGATGTAACATCCCATTTAAATTTTAATAGTTAATTTAGGTTAATAGAAATTTTTTAAAAAAAAAAATAATAATATTAGAGGTAAGAAAATTAGTAGAAAATGATTATTAAATCTAATTTAGGATATATTCTAAATTTAAAAAAAAAATTAAAAAAAAATAAATAAATTTATTAAAAAAATTAATTAAAAAAATTAATTATTAATTATTATTATAATAAAAAAAAGGGAAAAAGGATGCCAAAACAAAAAAAAAGGAAGAAGAAGAGAAAACGAATTGCTTTCGGCGCCGCATGAATAGTAAGTATAAATAATAATAAAAAAAAGGGGGAAGAGAGAGAAGAAGAAATAATAATAAAAAAAGTGTGTGGGACCCACTGAATTTTTATAAAAACTCACCTTCCTTCATTTCCTCATTCATTCTGCGCGCGATTTCAAGACTAAGTAAGTTCTAAAAATTTTTCTTAGTCATCCTTCTTATTTAGTTTCTGAGTTTGTGTGGTAGAAAATTTAAGATCTAGAAGAGGGATGATTTATGTTTGAAATAAATTGATTTTTGAGGTGTCAGTAGTATAATAAAGTTCTAGAGTATAAATTATTGATGATCTTTGAATCTGTGGCTTATGGATCAAATTCTAAACTAGATCTGAAACTATATGTTGATTTATTGAGTTAGATGATTATTTGGGATGAGAAATGAATTATTATGGTTATAAGTTATGATTCTAAGCTAAAGACTCAATTTTTAATTTTTGGGTATTTTAGGTACGAATTTATAAAATAAAAAAAAATTTTGATAATAGAAATTAGTTTAAAATTTGATTTTTTAGATTATTAATGTTTATTGATAATTAAAAGAGGAGTTAAAAATTTTACTTATAGTATTAACTATAGATTTGTATTAAGATTGAGATTAGGAATTATGTTATATTTTTAATTCTATTATTAGAATTATTTTATTAGTTTCAAAAATTGAAACTAATATTTATAAATAATATGTTATTGTAGATTGTATTACTGGTGAAGATTGTGGAGAGAGAGAAATTTTAAGGAATAATTATGAAAAAGCCACAAGGTAACCATGCTTTTAATTATGATTAGTGTTTTTTCTTGTAATTGGGTGATTATGAGAAAATTATGAATTTTGTAATATTGTATAATTGTGCAATATTATTATGAATTGTTTAATTATTGTGGGAGGTGTTGGGAGACTTGCTATTATTGTTGTATTTATGTGCCACGTGGTACGCCCCTATTGTAGCTCAATAGGTGGCTTGTAAGGGCTCGGGCTAATCTACCTTTGGTCGGGTAATTTAGCACCGAGTGAGGGCTACGGCTCGAGGTTAATGGAGGGATTAAGGATGGTTGTTTGTGTTTATTATAATATTTCTTATATTTGTTGGAATTATATTATTTTTAATTCTCACTTAGTAAGCACACACTTAACTGTTTGTATACACTATCATAAATTGGCTTTGGTTACTGGGACTTTTGAGTCTCATTATGTGGTTAACAATTTTCAGGAGAAGAGCCACGAGTGACACGTAGAGGAGTCCCAGAGGCTTAGTGGTATAGATCCACTGTCTCTTTTGGGTATTTAATTTATGATTTATAATGTGTTATATTGCCAATATTAGGACTTTTTTATGTTTATTGTCAATTATATGAATATATAAATGTAATCATGCCTTTCAAACTATTTCTATTTTGGTACAATTTGGATGACTGTAATTTTAATATTTGGTTTACTTTGGATTGGTTAAAATGGCATGATTATAAGGTCAAATAACTGGCTTGTGTTGAAAATTGATTAAATTGCTTATTTTACTTGTTGGGAGTATAAGGATGGACAAATGTGATTTAGTTTACTTGTTGGGAGTATAAGGATGGACAAATGTGATTTAGCCTAATGGCATATGGGAGGTAAAAATTTATCTGAAATGTTATAGTGTGTGAGTTGAAGCCATTATAAAATATTTATATCAAAATATAAAAAATTTTATATCAAAATTATTGATATAAAAATGTGTTGGGTGGCTGTAACCCAACTATGGTTGAGTTAAATTATTTAAAAAAAAAAATTTGGTGTGTTACACAAGAGGCGCCCGATCCCACCAAAAGCTTGTTATTGCATCATCGTTGATCTTTTTACCAGTGCCCTGGATGAACACCTCCCAAACCTTAGCGATGCTATTCCACACACGAGACATCCTCTAGTATTTTCTATGCACGTCACTTGAAAAACTCCATCCTGGTGGATTATTACTTGCGCGCGCACGTCAAACTACAGTTGCATACATTATTAGTGAATAGATGTTGCCCTATAAGGGGGTTTTCATAGTAGTGAATATTCCCTGAAGAGATCAAATAAATAGAAAGAGAAGAAAAAAGAAAAGATGTTATAAACATAGAGGTCAGTGATTAGATGCGAGCTCCACCCAGTCCCATTTTTTTTTTTTAATAATATTACTCGTTTTCATGAAAATAAATGCGTGAGTGTAAAATATCTAAATTTATGTCTCAGTTCATTAAACGTGGAGGCTGCCGAAAGTGGCTATAATATAATTAGTGAAATCCACTCTGTTTAGCTAAAAACTAACACTTATAGATTATTTAAAAAAAAAACTAATATTTATATTGCTTGATTTTAAACGCAAAATTCTTATACAACTGATTTGATTTGTTATAAAACATATTTTTATTATTGATAAAAAAATGCAAGGAGATCAATTTTTTCATCATTGAGAAAATTGCATAACTTAGTATTAGATTTTTTACATACCTTTTTTTAATAATTTTCCTTTTTTTCACATCTAAAGAAGATATTTTTTTTTTGAATTTTAGTTCCTTTAATAGTATGATTTAGATGAGGTGATATTTATTCATACAATTCTTAAATTGAGTATAATGGGAGAGTAAATGCTAGAATGGAATATCAGTGACATCATAATTAACAGACTTTGAAGTTGACTCTTAGAATTTAACATTTTTACATTCTTTGCTCACAAAGTATTGTCAATTCATTTATAAACTTAAACTAAAAACAAATTCAATTAAACTCATGAATTTATTATTTTATGTTTCTGGGTTATAAAATTATATTAGCTAATTCATAAACTTTGGGTTAGATGCAAAATTAATTAAACTGGTTAAGCTTGTTAATTTTTTACGTAGTTGATTGAATTAAATATATACTATGTAGAACTTGATTCATAAAAATGATATGACTTGGTTCAAATTAAAAACCTTAAAAAGCAAAAACTAACATTAAAAAAAATAAAAAATAAGTTACTTTATTTTAAAATTTCTATATTTTGTATGATAATCTATCATCATAGATGAATTTAATTTCAATAATTTATATTTAAAATATTTTTAAATTAAATTATGATCATATTTTATATTATTATTCAATCATATATTTTCAATAATTATTTATTAATAGAAGTAAATTTTTATAAATTTACAAGAGTCCATTTATATTTCAGTTGGGCATAATTGATTATGAAAATCATTAATTAATATAATTAATTTTAATTATAATTAATTATATTATAACGCAATCTGTTGGGATACTCTATTTTTAAAATTGATTTGGAAAAATGACAGAAAAATTCCAAAATGACTAATTAATTTGAGTTAGATTTCAAGTGTCAAGCTTCAAAAGTTTACAACTTAATCTCTCAATTTTACAAATGCGTATAATGAATTTGTAACTCAAAATTTCAAATTTTAATAGGAAAATAATTTTTTTATTTTTTAATCATGTTAAAATTTAAAAACTAAATTACAAATTTATCAGAATACAGTTATAAAATTGAAAGAATGAATTACATATTTATAAAATTTAACACTTGAGATTTAATTTAAATTAATTAATTTTGTTGAGACATCTTTGTCATTCTCCTAATTAATTTTAACGGAATAATTAATGCTTTAACAGTAAAATTAATTCCTATAATCAGCTTGAGCCAGCTTATTTGAAAATACAATTATGCTTCAATAATTAATTATCTCAATTTTTGAATGTTTGGATAATTTTGATTGAAATCGATTATTTAACTCAAATAGTCGATTACTGGGGCCATCCAAGCAGACTGGAACGTGAATTAATAACTTGAATTAATTAGAAGTAAGCTTGTGATTTAAACCGGGCTTTTAGCAAAGGTCATGTACCATTTGAGTATGTTACGTGGCCGTTGAATCTATCTCTCTCTTCGTTCCCACTTTTCGACTTCACCGTCACGGCGTGCGTTCCGTTCCGAGAAAAATTTGAAAGTAAAGCCCCTTGTGTTGTGCTAGCAATTCTTCTCTTCCAGGATTTCATCAATTCTGTTTCTCAATTTCTTTTGCTCGATTCAAATATTCCAGCTTTGGATCTTGCTTCAATGCACGCCCTAACTCCAGAATACTCATTAATTTGAAGTTTCGGGTTTCGATTCTTAGGGTTCTATTGCCTGTTCCTCCAAACATAATTGGGACGCCATGGCTGGTAACCTTAGAAACAGTAGACTAAGAAATCCGCCCGATATCATTTCATCGGAAAACCCTAAGCATTCATCTCCTATTCCGAAATCCCACGAACCCAATCAGTTTCCGTCCCACTTAGACGCACCGGAAGTTTCATCGTCAGCCAGAACCATCTGCAATGTTCTCACTCGAGTATCGCCTAATAATATTGAATCCACACTTTCCTCCACTGGAATCGAACCTTCTGCGAATACTGTCCAGGAAGTTCTCAAACTTTCCTACAATTACCCTTCTTCTGCGGTGAAGTTCTTCCGCTGGGCCGGGCAGCTAAAGAAGCATACGGCACATGCGTGGAACTTGATGGTCGATCTGTTGGGTAAGAACCAACTCTTCGAACCCATGTGGGATGCAATTCGATCGATGAACCAGGAAGGGGCGCTTTCTATGTCCACATTTGTGTCGGTATTTGAGAGTTATTGCATGGCTAGTAGGTTTAATGAGGCCGTGATGAGCTTTGATGTGATGGACAGATACGGGATTCAGCAAGATGTTGTTGCAGTGAATTCGTTATTGAGTGCAATGTGTCGTGAAGATAATCAGACTTCAAAAGCCATGGAATTCTTCGAAAAAATAAAGGAAGAGATACCTCCTGACGGTGACACGTTCTGTATTTTATTGGAAGGGTGGGAGAAAGAAGGGAATCTAGCCAAAGCTAAGACTGTTTTTGATGAGATGATTGTTCGTGTTGGATGGAGCCCAACAAATATGTCTGCTTATGATACATTCCTGACAACCCTTGTTCGTGGGCTGCAGATTGATGAGGCCATGAAATTTCTTAAAGTTATGAAGGAACATGACTGCTTACCAAGTTTGAAATTCTTTACAGACGCTCTTGATATTCTCACGAAACAAAATGATGCTGCTCGTGCCATCCTTCTTTGGAATATAATGGTGGACGGTGGACTATTGCCCACTTTGATCATGTACAATGCCATGATTGGCTTGGTTTGCAGCAACAATGAGATTGGTCATGCATATCAGCTACTCGATGAGATGGTCTTCTATGGTGCTTTTCCTGACTCTTTAACTTACAACATGATTTTTGAATGCTTGGTGAAGAACAAAAAGGTTCGTCAAGCTGAAAGATTCTTCACTGAGATGATCAAGAATGAGTGCCCTCCAACGCATTCTAATTGTGCTGCAGCCATCACGATGTTTTTTAATTGTGATGACCCTGAAGCAGCCAACGAGATTTGGAGTTACATGGTTGATAATCATGTCAAGCCACTTGATGACAGTGCAAATGCGTTGCTTTTGGGTCTGTGTAGCTTAGATAGGTTGTCAGAGCTAAAAGGATCTGCAGAAGACATGCTGGAGAGAAAGGTTAATATATATGAATCAACAATGAGGAGGTTGCAAGATGCTTTCTATAAAGAAGGTAGAAGTGGAAGAGACAGATATGATCATCTCTATAAGAGGCGGAGAGCTCGTATCTTAGTGTAATATATAACACTATACCTTAATATTTTTTCCGTTTAGTTTTTTTATTCATGAGGAGTTATTAAAGACAGAATGGCCTTTTTTGTTCTTGGCCCATCTTGGGTGCACCTTTAAAGTAGTGTCCTACAAACTCCATATGCCCATCCTGATTCACTTCCATCAACACTTGATCCTTCCAAATTCTTTTCCTGTTGATTCTTTCTCATAGTGAACTCTTTGGCATAGACGTAAATATTCTGGTTCCTACTTCCTATGTGTCGGTCGCTTTTTGCTGTGAGAGTGAAGTTTTTTGAAGCTGGCTTCACTCTGCTACTTGAGAATGAGATGACCTTCCAGATAGGGACGTTCATGAAATGTAGTTGATTTGTGATTTGCATGGAAGTGATTGGTGCTTTGTTTTCATCACAGTCTGATCATGAGTGTGAGCATACTTGAGGCAACTGTAAATCTTGCCTTGAGAATTGACAATCAGTTAATGATTGTCATTTCTGTATAATCTCCCGTTACTTGTTCACATTTTTTAGAATGTGATATATAACATTCTTTGGCGTGTCCGGATTAACTTCGTGTCCTGGACCTTGACAATACTTATTTACATGCTAAGGGCGAGTTTGATTTCATTGTGAGGACACTGTGAAACCACGTTTACCGAGAACTGACAAATTGCCACTTCCAGGCGTACAAACGGTTTGGAACCATGCATGTAAGTAGCTAACATGCTGTAGTAACGTGTTTCCGAACACACTACCAAAAAAGTGGAGGTTCCATACACCATGCCGTAAACATGGAGTATCTAATATATTTACATTTGGATGCTAAGGCGATATGATAACGCTATTGTATTTTTTATTTTTTTGTTAGGATAGTTTTTGTGTTTTTTTTTTTTTGGGATCTTATTTTACCTTGTGATTACAGAGAAGACCTTGCTTAATGTTAATGATAACGCTCCTCAAGAGGTGACAGTTAACACACCTCTCTTTAGGTGCCCCCTGTTTAATCTCACACTATTATATTGCAGTATACGCTTAGGATGGATTTATAGACCTTACATTGATTTCAATGAAACATGTGAGTTTCTTCACTGGTTCATACTTCATATGTAGCACACAGGCATCAGTGCTGTGAAAACCATTGCCATTCTCTCTTCCTCGAACCACCCCCCCTTTCTTTATTTTCACTCTATCCTTCCTTTATTCTATCTCAAGGCATGGCTTGATCAACAAGGAGGCATGGGCATGCGAGGATAACAGTTTTCTGGTTCTTTTGGTACCATTACAAGTTATGCCCTGTGAAGCATGGATGCTTAAAATTGAAGAACTGTGGTTCTGTTGTATAGTATAGACATGGTACTCTTCAACTTGTAAATGAACACTTGATTTTGTTGTATCAAAGTGAGTCTGAATTTGTCAATGATTCCTATTGGTTGTGCATTTTTTTCCATTTTGTTTTATTTTTGCCCTTGCTCTTTTATTACATATCATAAGGTCATTTGTCTCCAAGACTCCAACTACTCATTTGTGCTTTGATGGCTTTTATTGCCTGCATTTTATGAGATGCTGCTTCAGGAGCATCATACTGCTAACAATATCTATTGCTGTGTTTTTCATGAAAGTGGAGGTGGAAATGCAAGGACAAATGAAAAGTGTGAGTGAAATAGAAGTGAGGTTTAAGAAGATGCTTGGTGTATATATATGGAATTATTGTATGGTTTCTATTCAAAATGTATTGTCACAATGTTAAAATGCCAAAATGCCCTCATTCATGGGGGAAAATGGGCCAGATCAACTAAGCCCATGTATTCGGGCCCAAAAAAAATGAGCCAATCTTTGCCATTGACGACACCGCCATCCACGGCAAGCAGCACAAAGTGAAGGAGGAAACGACGAAGTGAGCTCCATTGATTTACTCTCTGTCGAACTCCGGACTTTGTCTAAATTTGGATACCCATTCGAGCTTGTGGGATTTTTGTCGCAAATAACCTGGGTCCCGATTAGGTTAATAGTGAAATCTATACAATACGCCAGAATAATAACAACAACAATAATAATGGTACCAAAAAAAAAACTAATAGTGAAATCTGTAGGTAGAAGCATATTAAATTAACATTTTTTTTAGAATTGAAATGATTTCTTTAGTAAACATAAATTCAAATTAATTTTTGGTAAAAAAAAAATTCAAATTAAGTATATAGAAAATAGAATGCTTTAAATATTTTAAAATAAACATAAACATTCAAATTAAGTTTGGTAAAAAAAATTCAATTAAGTTATATAGAATAGAATGCTTTAAATATTTTAAAAAAATAATTTTCCGTTTTGGTTGATAAAAAAATCATGACAGAAGAATTCTCGTATACGGTTAATAATGCTTGAATTATACGCTAAATAGTATTGATATTGGATCAGTGCATAAAAATTATTTATAATAATAATGAAATAAATAAAATAAAACAGGATTAGTTTTATTATAATTTAAAATTGAATACGCCTTTTAATATGTAAAATGGCGCTTGGGCTTAATTTTAATTTAAGTTCAATGAAATTACCTTTAAATATTCCTCTTCTAACGCTAAGGAAACCATTTAGTAGCTTTATTTTTATAATCTAGCATTGTAGGTGATGTTAGAATTGTTGTTACCAAAATTATGTTTATATTTTTACATTAATTATAAAAAGAACAAGACTTGAAGCATTTTCATAATCATTTTTCATCATGTTTTCTATTTAGAATGTGAAATCTTTTGAAACCAGACATCATTTAATACAAGAGACCTTGGTCTTTCAATTTTTTAAATTTAAAACAATGATGGCAGATGTTCTCAAAAAAGGGTAAAGTGACAATATTACATTGACAATAAAATGGTTCTATCTGTGGTACTATAAATGATAAACTATGTGGGTTAAGAAGTATAAAAAGAGAAGAGAATCATTATAAAACATATCTTTTATTAAAGATGATTTCCAAACCTATAACTTTACACACACCAAGCCTGCTTCACATTGCTTTCAAAAGCTCTTCTACTAATAATACTATTCCATATTCAATTCTTAACTTCATAGCATCTCATTCCTACTTCTTTTTTAAACAAATTTTATTTTTTTATAGTCTAATTTTCTATGATTTTGCACAACAAATTGCATGTTAGTTTTTGAACAATTTATCATCCATGTTATTATTTTTTTATAGATCATTATTTTTAAAATAATAAATTGTATTTTCATGAAATTTGTCCCTTATTATAGCATGTAAGGTTAAAAACTTGGGGTACAACGTGTATTAGGTGATACCGTGGTAGGCTTAGTGTAAAAGGTAATAAATCCAGTGTGCATTTTGTACTGGTCTTGATACCTCAAAACAATTTCCTCGACAATATAAGTGGGGATTTTTTTGGCAATTTTCCCATAAAACTAACAGGCTAAAACGTTTTTTTTCTTCGTTTTTCTAAGTTCTCCCGCCTAAAAATGACTTTAACAGACTGACGTTCCCGCCATTTTGTGCCCCAGTCTATCATCTGGCGCTTCCGTTGGGAACAGTGAAGCAGCTAAAACTCTATCCAGCGAGGGCTGGCTTCACGTGCGACAGAGAAAAATGGAAATTGTTCGATCTCAGAGCCATCGGAATATCTCCCCTAACGATGCTGTTACACCCTTCCACTCTATCGTTCTGCTCCACCGCTCGACGTCAGGCTGGAGGATTTCGAGTTATACGCCTTGGATCGTCTTCGAGGTTTTATTTTTCTCTTCCTCGAATTCCAGCGATATACTGATTGCATATGTTCATCGGAATGGCGGCGATTTTTGTGTCCAGGCTTTTGCAGTTGAATAGCATTGCTTATCTACAATGTCTTTAACTGATATTGAGTTCTGCAATTGTTGTTTCATGATTGAATACCAGAAATGAAAAATTAAAGAAAAAAGCTAACTGGTTAGTGGGCATAACATAATTTGAGTTCAGTCGTGAACTGGAAATAGTTATATAGCCTAATTCTAATACGTGGTATTAACATTGGCTAGCGACTTGATTAGTTTCAAAAAATGTACTGAACAAGTATCAAATCGCCGACATTTTTCCAATGTGTTGTCTTTTCAAATTCTATTGTAGCGGAGGTATCATCAGTACTTAGCAAGAGTTTGGAGCGTTTTTTCCTCCAGGAACAAGAGTTTAGACCTGTACAAAATTGTGTGGCTGATGGTTATTATCGTGTGTTGCAGTTCTCAAGGGGATATCTGATGGTTTGTCTCGGGGAAAGAAACCAGAAGAAATGGATCAATTAGTAACATCCCACATTGATTATCACTTTACTATTAGATTTCCAATCATACAGGTCATTACCATGGAATATCCTCTATGCAGGTACACAATCTATGGAAAGCACATATGAGGCATCAACAGGCATCTGAAGTTGTAAATAAGGATATTATATCTCATTTTGTTTTACGGCTTGTGTATTGCCGAACGTAAGCCTGTGGCCCCCCTTATCTACTGTTATTGCATGTCTTTTATATGTTCCTCGTATTTCCGTGATTATAAGCATACTATGTGATTTGTCATTAAAATATTTGATTGACATGAATGGGGTATTCTCAGTAATTGAATTTTATTGTCAATGATGTGTGACTTGAAACTATTAGCACTCTTTTTTCATGGTGAAACTGGACGCAATTTAGCATGTGTTTACATCAGTCATCTCTCACATTTTCAACACATGCACTAGCATTGGATGTCACAATTGAAACAGTAAGAAATGCCACCCTCAGTCTAGCACAACCAACTATTGAAATCATTTTGGATAATTGTTAAATAAATTTAATTTATAGTTATTTTTTAACGTTATTTCTTATGTACTAAAATATTCACTTTTTATATCTAGTGAGGACTTGAGGAAATGGTTCCTATCTATGGAAACTTCACTATTTCGCTACCGATTTCATCGTGAAAGTGCTGAAGCTCAGGTACAATCATCTTAGGTAACATGTATTGTAGTTTGCATTTCAGCCCTAAATGCTAATTTGTCATGTACTTTTCTTGTGAGTTCACAGAGGGCAATCATGGCAGAATTTGACCTTCCTTACAAGGCTGTTAGCCATCTGGAATTTGAGGTAATTACTTGTCATTTGTTTTATTGGCTTTAACCTTTACAAGTTTTGCAAATGAAGGGAATGTTTGCAGCTTTCTATAGATGCAAAATGCTTTTCAGAACTGATGATGACATGAAGTTGTTATTTTCAGAGTGTGAAGGACAAATTGGAACAAGTTTCACGGTCCATTGGCCAGCCTCTACGTGACAGTAGGAGCAAAACTCTGTTCTTTCTTTCTTTTTTCTGCCTCATTCACCATTTATCTTTCCAGTAATGATTTTATTGTTCATTTTATCATGCTAGAGGTAGACACTGTACGGTTTAACTATTTCTTGCTACGTAAGGCCCTGACTTTTGGACTTTGCTTGCTTCTGCATGAATAGATTACAGCATATATTTATTGGTGATTCATTTAGTGGGATATATGTCCTGCAAGTTCCTATGCAAAAGAGAAGTCTAGGATTCTTAATGTTGCTTTTTTCTTTTTAAGTTCATAACTCAATCCAAATTATTGTTATAACATCTAAAGCTAATTGGCCTGCATTTTTGTTTGCTTGTCCTTTGCAGCTGACACTATATTCTACAAGGTATGTGTTTTTTTCTTAGCCCCCATTCTTGACCTGTGTCTTTCAAGTCAATAGATCTTAGGCTACAATTGGAGCTAGTAGTTGCAGTATCTAAATTTGTGTATATTGGGATAAAATGACCTTTATTCTCCTAGAAATACCATTTTAATAAATGATTTTATATTTTTCATATCTTCAATGAAGTTATTTGATCCCACATATGCCTCCTTAATATGGAGGAGTTTCCTGATTGACACTCTTCCCCACTCCCTCCCCTGCTCCTTGTTCTTGGTGAATCAAGCAAAAAAGTGTGAATCTCCCACGAAACTTATCAGTCATACTGTTGGATGTGTAGGCAGAAACTCTAGCAAATTGCAGAGTATCCTGTTAACTGTCTGTCTGATTCTCATGCTTTTTGCTGGACACGTCACTTCATGTGTTTACTTGCTCTGCACCTCTCCTGCTTTTTTTGTTAGCTTAACATGTTTTTCACTGCCATGTAGGTACCATTTGAAGAAGTTCCAGAGCTTGTGGCTGGTCGGAAAGTATTTATAAATCAAGGTTATGCTTATGTTGGAATGAATCAGGTTAGATATTGTAATTTCTGGTATTTATTCTTCTGCATCAATTGCTATCTCTTCAGTCTTTCTTTGAACTCAAGGGCTAATGGTTGAAAGAAATCTTTTCTATATTTCTCTGCTTCCTTCATAGGTTGTCTCATTGGTAGCCACAATATTCCGCAGTCAGCTATCCAAGGCACTCATACTCACAAACAGGTTTGACTGGCCATTCATTGTTAACCTTTTCTCATGATTTTCTTTTTTAAAACCTATTAATTTGTCCAGTCTCAGAATATATGTAAGCAATAAGCTCAGTGAAAGAAAAGCATGGCTTTGTCAACATTTTTTTCTTTTTTCAGATTCTCCTTTATTTTCTCATCAGCATTTTAATTTAACTATCTATTAAAAGGTTGTTGTAACAATATACACATAGATACAATATAACGTTATGTAATATGTAGATTTTATTCATTCACTGTAGATATCTGTAATGACATTGTCATCATTATTGTTATAGTAGTCAAATTGTGCCTGTGCCTTGAATCTCTCTTCCATTTCTATTTGCTCTGTCTTCCTAAAATTTGAAGTATACTTTGTTACCTTTGGCACAAGGTAATGTTAATTGAAACATGTTTCTGGTCTATCGACTGAAGTTTATTGATTATAGTGCACTGTATGTGAAATTGTGCTTGCTCAAAATAGTAAACCTTCTCCTAAACTTCTTTCCCTGGCACTATATGGTTCTAACTCTTGCCTATCAACTTTGCCATATTAGTAGAAGAATTGATGAAGTTTCTGCCTTCCCTGGCTGGTGAACTGTAAACTAATTCCCATCTGTTTGGGAAGATGTTACTATCTTGTATCATTGCATAAGTTTAATTGCATACAAGCATATATTCTCATTTATATTCTCAGCAATTTTAAGCCTAACTTTTTAATAAAAACGTGAGTTTAAATTATTTGTTGCAGAAAATGGACATCTACAGTTAGAGAACAAGAAAAAGATAGATTGACTCCTGTAAGTCTAGTTAGCATATTGTAGGTTTGATAATTTGTTATCAGTGTCGAAGTTGACGAGTTTTCTATGTGTAGATTGTGGAAGCCCTATGTTCAAGTTATCTAGGTCCTGACTATTCTCAGGTAATTCATGCCGTATGTGTTTGTCTATTTCTATCACTAGTGGGTTATATTAAAGTGTTCACTTTGGTTGAGTGTTTCTGCAGCCAAGAGAGTATGCTCAGATATCATTAAAGGACATTGATCAAGTTGCCAAGAGCTCATTCCCATTGTGCATGCGTCATTTATTTGAAAAGGTTAGACTTAGTTTCAGAATCATGCTACCAATTTACATGTTTATAATTTTTTTATTCTTTCTGTTTCTCTTTTTCTGTTTAGACTTCTTTGGGGTCTCATTTCACATGATGTTATACTTATTTAATGCAGCTGAGAGAGGATCACCATTTAAAGCATGGAGGAAGGATGCAACTAGGTCTCTTTCTGAAGGTTGCATTGACTAGCTGTCTGAGTATATTCTATTAAGTTATGAGTGACAGCAGGGTTTAGTTCATTGGGCTGGAAATTCTGCATGCTGTCATGCTGTTTCTTTACATGTGTTCAGCATTGCATGGTTGGACATCCATTATACAGCCAATCCTTTTTTCTTTTCTAGTTTTCTATTTCCCCTCCTGGGTAGGAGCAATTTTTATGATTGGAAGGAATCATGGCAAAAGCTGTGCTTTCTAGTTTCCTGTCCATAAGAGATATATGCAAAGAAACATTCAGTTCTTTGTTTAAAAAACTGAAATAATTGCTATTTCATACTGACTGGTGGTGTCAGGATTTGATGCCTTTCTCCCCATTGATGATCAAGGTTTGATGGTGAGATCATGGTTTCTTAAATATTGGTGCTTGTATGTGATATTTCAAAGATAGAATTTGGATATTCCTTTCAAAAAAATTGAATATTTTATGGTTGAACATATTAGGTTAGCAATGATAAAATTAATGTTTTCTCAATTCATCTACCATCCAATTTATGTGCATTTTTTCCTTTTTGTCTTCATATTTTTCTCATGTTTTTCCCCTTGTATGATACATGAAGGGAGTTGGTTTGAGTCTGGATGATGCCCTTGCATTCTGGAGACATGAATTCTCTCAAAAGGTAATTATGGTGCTTGTATATATCCTCATGGCAATAAAATCTTACAAATTCCATAATCTTTGTTAAATTAAAGATGCTAATTATTTGCATTTTTATTATATGAACAAAAAAATTTGAATGAAAGGCACTTTAGTTTTTCATTGGATTTACGTAGATTATTTCAGAATAAATTGCTGTGGATTTGTCTGTCTTCCTGCTATTATAGTTTTGCTTTCTCTCTCTACATAACTTGGTATATAGTAGTCATTGGATATATTTTCATATGTGATGCATTATGTTTGTCAGTTTACATTCATTAAGTAATTAATCTGTTGTAGGTTGGCCTGGAGAGGTTTGACAAAGAATATGCATACAGCATACGGCATAATTATGGAAAGGAAGGGAAAAGAACTGTAAGTTGTTAACTTTTTGTTGAATACAGAACTAGTGAGGCCAGTATTCATGTGGGAACACAGACATCCAAATATCGTATGTGAAACACATTGCAAGTCATTTGATCAAATATTAATGGTCAGGATGTAAAATGATTTAATGCAAAACTCAGCGAATGTGATTGCACATTCATAGTTAACCACAATGGCTTTGCGGTAATCTAGGTCATTGATATTGACCAAATAGTGATTAATAAATTTTCTTACTAGACATGATACCCCCTCACCGGGCACACGCACACATTGCTTGTAACTTAGCATCCACCATTCTGCGTGTCTGTAGTTGGGTAAAACTGTTCACTTTAAAAGACACAACCAATGTGAAGTCATTTAATTCAACTTCTACAGAATTCGCATTCGAAGAAATTGACTCATATGTCTTTATATTTATTTTCTTTTAAAGAGAGTTTCTTGGTCTATTATAAAATTTAGAGCATGCTAACCTTCACATAAGAGGAGGTTAGCATTGTCTGGGTATGAGCCCGTCTGCTTGTCTGGGTATTGCTGATGACTTTAGAGTTGTCATTGTCATTGATTCACTTGAAGACTTAATCTGAAAATCTAGACTTCCTGATGCTTGTTTGTATACATGGTTAGTCAAACTTAAACGACTAGTATTCAATGGATGTTGCAGGATTATAGTCCCTATTCTTGTCAAAAGATTATTTCATCAACTCCTGGGGTTGGAGATCATCATGGATGCCCCTATCGACACTTCAGGTCACTTTTATCAATATTTTCAGACTTCATGAGGATATTTTAGCTTTGCCAGACAAGTTAGATGGCCTTTTAAACCTATTGGGTATATTTGATCACTGATTTAACACGTTTCTCGCTTTTAGGACAAGAGATTCTGTCTTGCTGAGCTAAAGGAGTTTATCTATTATTGTTATGTGATACTTTTCACTGAACCATACTATTTATTTCTCTTGCTTGAAGAGCACCTTTGGTTTTCCTATACACTTTAGCATGTAAACTTGCCTGGCATTTCTTTCCTTGTATAATTAATCCAGGTCTATGATGAAAGAAAAAAGTTTTTCTCGAATGAGATCATTAATTAATTAATCGAATTGCAGATTGTTTCATCTGATGTTAGTGGCGTGAAGTTGAAGCCTAATATAAATCTGTCAGCTATCACCCGTTCGGGGAGATTAATTTTTCACGAGAAATCCAACATTGGTTTATTCAATAAATGAGATAGCATTTAATATTTTTTTAAACTTTGAGCTGAAGTTGTTGTTCGATCCCTTTCTTATCTTCTAAAAACGCACGACTTTATCATTTATTTATTTTACCTGATTATGAGTTGATATTTGATTGATGCCATTTGTATTTGTTAGTGAGGAGAATCTTAGAGCTGCTCTTAACAGAATGGGGGTGAATGGTCGAGAAATTGAAGACATAATGGACAAAGTACGAAATAGACATTATCAGGTAGACCTCGACCACATTAACTGCTTATAGTTTCAATTCTCTTTCTATCCTTGAGGCTTGATGCCCGACTATGGTATCGTTTGTGTAGCTGGCTTGCACCTTGACATTTGAAGCTGTCCATGGCAAGCAATGTGATGCGGGGATTAACCATCCAAATCAATACTTTAGTGACAGCCAAAAGATATTGAAGCCAAAGGTAACACCTATACTGCAAATCATGGCTGAAACAAATATTGGTGAAAAACTCATTAAAAATAAATCATAAGTACAAGATGCAAATTGTAGCAGGGGGTATATTATGTCCATAAAATTGTGCCGCACAGGTTCACCTATATTTTGTGTACTGTGGGAATCAATTGCTGTTATGGGAATAGAGGTTTAAGCTTTAGAGATCGAGTAATATATGAACAGACCAGCCACTGATACGGTATGGTTTCGAAAGGAAAAGGGGAAGGAGTCAATGCAAGTGCGTTTGTCTCACTTGATAACAGTATCATGGGAAATCTTGGAAAATTTGGGAAGGAGTGCTTGCAGATTCTTGGGTAGGAGAAGGCGTTAATCTGAAAGCATGCAAGTGTAAGCATAAGTTTACAAAAGTGTGGAAGCGTGTCAGTATAAGAATGTCTTCACGGTTAATCCTAGAGTTGGTGAATTGCTCAGCAGGATAGCCGGGAAACTAGATAGGTTGTTAAACTAGAAACGTATTCGAAATGGAGAAGAAAACTCAAGAATATTATCTATGTATCTATTAAAAATGGTATACTTATTTTTCGAATTTCATGCAATAACTCGTACTAATTATATTAAATCTTGGCGAAGCACATGGGTTCCCCTGCAATTCTAGATTAGATTATGAGAGTACAAGTGACGAATGGCATCTCGTTAATGGGTCCTTTTGCTTGAAAGGTGCAGTCGCAAGATCCCCCGGGCGCATCCTGATTTTCAAGATCTACTGCTGTCTCTGACCTCAGAGGTGTGATGATGATTTTGGACCCCTCCCTTCAAGGGACAGCGAGCGACGAGCCTTGAATGACTCGAGGAACTGATAGAATTACACAGAAGCATCTCCATTCAAATGTATATTTATTTGCTATTTGCTATTCTTACTGTGGAATGCTTGCTTTTATGTATTGATCTGTTCAGTTATTAATCAAGATGTGTCTAATACCTGATATTGCAACTTACATCAAGAATCAAGAAATATACCTAAAAATCATAAAGAGGAGTTGCCTTAGTGGGCAAAGTTGAGAGAATATCTCCCCTTAATAATGAGTTCGATTTTTTTTTAAGCAGAAATAGAAAGAAACCAGCAACATACCTACCTGGTTTAATGTGGTCGATAATGTTGGTTTCTTTAAGATATCTGAGGTGGGAAATCCCTGTCGATGGATTAGTGGGTGAAGGTCTGAAGGAGATATAAAGCCAAGTGGCCTGAAGGAAGATAATCTGTTTAGTGTTGCCCGCCAACGTAGTTGGAAATATTAAGATAAAAATATGGCTGCAACAGGCATTGATGAAAGAACTTGAAGATTTATGTAACTCCCTCTACTTCTGTTTACCAGCCTGTGCTTGCTGCCCTTCTAATGGAACCAACCTTCTTTTTCCCCTCCATTTTTTTGGTTTTTAATGTGGGTGATTTCAGCATCTTTTACGTGAAATATTTCCGCAGCATTTCCCGTTTCCAATTATTTAAAATATCGAAGAGATAACATCTTTGGTAGTCCATGAAAGTTCCAAATCATTTGTCTATATTTTTCTTTTCAATTAAACTTTGAAAGATTTATGGTTTTTTAATGGAAGAGATGCATTAATGAAAAAAAAGTATATATCAGTAGTATTGTACTGCAATCTTTCATCACTCATCACCACCTGTTTGTAATAAGATGGGTTTGATTATGACACATCTCACCTTTTCTTACATATTGTTTAGGTATTATATTTCACTTCAAACTAATTTTACAAAAAATTTTTTAAATATTGTTGAATGTAAAATTGGTAAAAATTAAGAGAAGTATTTGCAATATGTTTTTGAAATGTAATTCCTTTGATTTTTGATATGATCATGTTATTTAAAATTTTTAATGATTTTTTTTACTTTTAATCTTTCTTTATATTTTTGTCACAAAAAAATTTTTTATATTTTTTTCTGGACTATTTTTATACAATTATTTTCATTTTACTATTAATATTTTAATTGTAACTTTTGATAAAAAGATAAATGAAGTTCGCCATTCAATTAAAGACCAGATTATACGTTATAAATTGAATAATTAATCATGTTAATTTTTAATATTAATTTATGTTGAATTATTTATTATATAATTTTTTCAACATATAAAGCTTTATATTTATTATTATTATTTAACATATCAAACTTTATGTTATTCAAAATTTTTATCACATTTTTTAAACATCTCTAATATATTAAATTTGTATGACAAACATTACAAATCATCATAAATTAATATTTTTTTTGATAATTATACATCTAAAACTACATTTCACTATATTTAATCCAAATAATTTTTAATTTATTAAATTAACTTTTAAAAAAATTTATCTAAATACAAATTTCATTATAACAATTGATTTTTATTAAATTAATTTTTGCCCAATAAACTTTCAGTAAATAAACTTTTGATAAATTAAAAACAAAAAATACACACACTAAAAGTGTAACGATTATTTATATTATCGAAAGTAGAGTTAGCTTCCCTCCTCAAAGGTAAGAAGCGGAGGTGTAGAATTTGAACCATTCAAATTTAATATGAATGGCTCATATTTAATTTATAAAAATTATAAAAAATGTTAATATTAAACTTGTACGATTCAAAATATCTTTAGAAAGTCAATTTATAAAAAAATTGATATTAAATGTGTACACGAATGCTTATTAAATTATTTTTTTAATGTATCTGTAAGTAAAACTATTAAATTTCATATTCAAAACATAATTGCCAATGTCTTTGGGTTTTAATAATTTAGTTATAAATGCAACGAAAAAATAATTTTGTGAACACTAATGCACATTTTTTCACTTTAAATTTTTGGATGCTTTTGACTAATATTTTTTGAATATTTTTATTCATTTACCCTTAAAAAAAAGTATGGTTAACTCAATTATGCGTTCACCTCCCAGTAAATGTCAACTTTAAGCAGGGATGGATACAAAATATAAATGACTCTCCTGATAAAAATATAAAATTTATTAAAAAAAGGCCATATTATTTATGAATCACTACTATAAATGACGGGGCTTACGATTTAGTTTGTGCAGTCTAGTTTCTCATCACTTGAATGGATTTCCCATTTTTTTATTCCCTGTTTCCCAAAATATATTAAAATATTTTAAGAAATAACAGTGGAAACAATATTTAAATATTTGAACACGCCAAATGCTTAGCGAGGGGGAAAAGAAGATACTGAAACCTTCCCACCAATTGGAGTTAAGAACCAAAATTTGACAATCTTGTGAAGGCCATTTCCTGCTTCAACATAAAAATTCACAAGAGCATGAGCTAGCCTTCTGACTCTTCGTCATCGACCTCGTTGATGCCGTCCCCCTGTGGCCCGCATCACCAACACCTCCATGCCTCCAAAACTACCCCGATTCAAGAGAAAAATCCCTCATGAAGGCGCTGGCCGCCGCACCCACCCCTTAATCTGGCTCTTAGCCGTCATCTGCGTCATCATCGCCGTCGCCGTTGTCATCGTCGGCCTCGTCGTCTTCATCGGCTACCTCGTGATCCACCCTAGGGTTCCGGTGATCAGCGTCACCAACGCTCACTTAGACCTCCTCCGAAACGACTACGCAGGTCTTATGGAGACGCAGATCACCGTAGTGGTGAGAGCTCAGAACGGGAATGCGAAGGCTCACGCGACGTTCTCCGATATCAGGTTCAACCTGACGTTCCAGGGTCAGGGCATCGCGATGCTTGTTGCGGACCCTTTTGAGGTTCCCAAGAACAGTTCGAGGGATCTGAATTATGTGGTTCAGTCTTCGTCTATTCCGTTAACTCCTGATCAGATGGAGCGAATAAACCAGGCATGGAAGCAGAATGAGATTGCTTTTGATCTCAAAGGAGATGCCAGAACTCAGTGGAGGGTCGGCCCTCTGGGTTCTGTAAAATTCGCTTGCCATTTGAATTGCAGGCTCAAGTTTCATCCCATGAATGGCTCTTACATTCCCTCGCGCTGCACTTCCAAGTCAAAATGATATTTCTTATATATATATATATATATATATATATCATACTCGTTTCTTCTTCTTTCCATATAGCAACATATATAAAACCTTCTTCCTCCTCCTCCTCCTTCAAAGTGGAGATGTTTAGGTAATAAGATTAGTGGATACCTTAGATTCCATCTCTTGCTTTTAAAGGTCGTCTTAGACTAATCTGCACTTCTATATATCGTCCAGGAACTGATGAAGAACCTTGATCTTCAGAATGATATAATACTTAATATATTACAGTCTCATGGGAGGTGAATTATATTTTGATGTCTATTTCATTTTCAACTTGTAATATGATGAGTCTGATCATTTGTCATAATTATTATGATTATTAATGATTTTAATGTTAAATGCAAAAAATAAAGTAACAATATTTACTTTTTTCATGCCAGACATCGGTGATGTTAGTTTTGTTGCATGCAGCCAGGGACAAATTTAAAATAGAACAACAATTCAAACAAAGAAGGCGGCTAGAAAAGAAAAGCGAAAGTTGAGATAAATTTTGCAGAAAGCAAGTGCTGGGAGCTGTATACATAATTGATAATTCATTGAAGATGGTGCCTGGGTCTGCAAGTGATCATCATGTCAGAACACCCCAAACTAAAAAAAAAGGGGGGGAGAAAATGGGATGTAAAAGTATTAGCAGATAAAGCAAAGTTTAACATAGTATATTAGCTTAGTTTATTTGGGTTAATTAGTTTTAGCCTTAAATATATGGTGTCAGTTCCTTTATTATGAAAATGGGATGATGCGATTGCCGGCAAAAGTGGGAAGGTAGTGATGATTAAAGCAAGAGGAAGGCACTAGAAAAAGCAAATCCTACCTAAACCTTAATAATTAAAATAAATTAAGGAATAAATAAATAGTAAAGGCATTCAAAGATGTCAACTTTTCCTTCTTTGAACGCCTTTCCCAAGGCGCTTAATCTGGGAAGTGTTATGCGTTTGGTCTGCTGCTCAGGAGTAATTAAGTTCCGCGTGAGTGGAAAATTTTATTTGAGAATTTAAGGCCCCGTTTGTTTGCTTGTTTGTTTTTTATTGGGAAAGGCCCCCCCCCCTTTTTTTTTATTGGAATGAATTTAAATTTTTGAGAAGCAATTTTCAAGAAAGAGAGTGAAGTTTTTTTTGGGCCGAAAAAGAGAGTGGAATTTGGATTCAAGAGCTAACCCATAAAGAAAAATCTTAGGCTTGTTTGATATGATGGAAGAGTTTTTGATAGAATCGGAATCAAAATTGAAATTGAAATCAAAATCGAAATCGAAATTGAATTGAGTTTTAAAAGTGTGTTTGATATTAAAATAGAATCATGATATAATTTTGATAAGTATATGTATTTAAAATATAAAAAATTAAAATACCCTTTATTTTATCTTTTTAATGAAAAACTTAACAATAAAAAAATAAAGAATGTACTTTTAAAGCTCAAAATACTTTTATTTTATTTTTTAATAACACATAAGCTAATTTTATGTTGAGTTGGTGGATTTCATGGTCTCTACAATGGAATTGAATTCTATCAAAATTGATGGAATCATATTCCTTCAAGAAAGCAATTCTGGTATACCAAACAAGCCAACCGAAGAATTCCATGTCAATTTCATTTTCTTTTTCACAATTCTGATATATCAAATATGGCCTTACTTTCCTCAGGAAATAGTTTTTATTCCTGTTCTATCCTTATAAAACTAATGTTAACCCATAACTATCCTTGGCCTTCGGCCCTTCACCATTTTCTGATCTCAGCTCTCTAATGCGCCATGCTACCATCCCTTCTACTTCTTGGACAAAGAAAACAATTTTTATTTTTTTAAAGTTTCATGTCAAATATAAAATATTTTGGGTCTTTTAAAGTGCAGAATAATTAATAAAATTTTCTAATTAAAAGACTCTATTAAATAAAGGTTAAAGTATATTTTTAATTTTTTAACTTTATATAAAATTTTAATTTGGTCCCTTGATTTTATAAAGTATTTTTTTAGAATTTTAACTGAAATATCGTTAGTTTTAAATGATTATCTTTTGCATCAATTATTTTTATTTTAAAAAAAATTAAATTTAATACGTCAACATTTGATAATATTTTGTCAATATTTGGTAATTTGATGGTAATTTAATGTAAAAATTTATTGAAATGAAACTAATAATATTAGAATTATAGGATTAGAAAGAAACTTTATAAAGTTAAGGGATAAAAATAAAACCTTATATAAAAGTAAACATGAAAAATGTGTAATTTTAAATTTCATTAACTAACTATTGAAAGATGTAAATTAGTTTAAAATACCTTATAATTCTGAACATAAAATGTATGTAGGTATTAATTACTTTCAAAATGAACATTCTTGCACATGTTTGAAAGGTTTAAAATTGAGTTCAGGATTTTGTTTTTTAGAAAACAAGGTTAAGCTCAAATATTATTGTTCACCAATACATAAAACGAGGGACTGAAATCTCCCCAAGAATCTTGATTATATTCATTAAAGACACAATTTTATCAGGAGGTCTCTCTATCACCATCTATCTATCAGCTTGGTTCACACTCTTCTTTAATTTAGAAACCAATCCGCACAAATATTAACCTTTCTAAACGCATGCTTGACCAAAGTCTCCACATAGTCATTCAGAAGATCGATTCCATGTTTTCAGCCACCAATGATCAGTTTGATCGGTGTCTAAGACATCTTGTTATTGTATGTTGACATATGGAATAGAAAAAAAAAACAACAACAACAACAACATCCGGCTCGTTTATTCAAATTGAAATGGGGCGTGTAGAGAGTGGCTGAAGAAATAATTAAGAGCAAATGGTTAGCTGCTCAAAAGATTTCAGGGGTTTTATCAGTGAGTATATTGATTCTTCCATATTCAAGGAGAAAGAATACTTGAATTTAAACACAAATTCATAATTAAGGTACTTTATTCCGATAATTAGAACTATTGAATTTTCTTCATATATTATTCATTATGTTAACTATGTAATTATTTATGGTATACATTTCAAAAATACTTTGAACAAAAGCTTTCCATTCTTTCTTCGTATCAAAGCTGTGTCGACTTCTCCGTATGAATATGGAAAAGCTAAATATAAATGTGAAAACAGAAAATGCATCTAGACTTTTATTATTGACATCGTTAACTTACTCACTTCTCAAATGTATGATTAAATCTTGTTAAGGATGTAGCCAGGTTTGGTTTCCTTAATTATTAGGACATCCTAAATCTATCGGTGATAGATTCTTCGGATTAGGACCTTCGTCTTCGTCTTCGCACTTTATAATTAATTATAGAGCACAAATATGCGAATAATAACCAAATCATAGGAACTAAAAGGATAATGCAACTTTTAATTTTTTAAGTTTGCCTTCGTTATCAAGTTGGTTGGTTAAATTTAATTTTTATTGATTTAGTCCTTTATGTTTTTTTAAATATTTAATATTTAATATTTGGTCCTTTAAATATTAGCACACAAATTGACTCTCAAAATAATTTAATGTGTAAAATATATTAATAATGTAACATGTATTTGTAGTTAAATGGGAATAAATTAACCCTTAAATTAGTTCAATTTTTAACAATATGATGTCTTGCATTGTATTTTGTTCTCTAGTTTTTAAAAATTTCAGAGTTTATTTTTTTTCCTACCTAAATTATTATGCTTCATTTCATCAATTTACATGGTTACCATTCATATTCTGTTATTTATGTCATTAAATTTTAACAATGTAAACTTCTTTTTAAACTGGAAATCAAATTGATAACCAAAATAAAATTAAAAATTAAATTAATAAAAATTAAACTTGAAGGACCAAATTGATATATGAGAAAAACTTGAAATACTAAAAGTTATATTATCCTGGAATTATATAAAAGCAAAATTAATAGACACTGAAGTTATTTCCCACATTAATTGGCAAATTGCACGCATACAATGCATAACACTTGAATTGATTCAACGGAAATATGATTTAATTAATTTGTTAGACTTGTGACCCAATGGACTTGGTTTCTTTGTGCTCTAGAACATTTAATAATTAAGATTAAAAATATATTTTATTTAATTTTATTTATAAGTCACTTTCAACATTTTTACAGGAATCAAGAAAAATCTTAAAACTCACTAACTCTATCCAAAAATTCAATAAATTTTTAACTTTACTCTATTAAATATACCTACTTTAAAATAAAATCCTCTAACATTTAATAAATTTTCCTATATTTGATAGAGCAAAATGGTAAAGATAAATATAATGATGTTTGAGGTGCCTTGTAAAAAAGATCAAAATAAATATTCTCTCTCTATTCTATAAATAGGAATAGAGGAGTAGTTGTATTTTTTTTTTTTTTTGTATGAGTATCTTTTTAATTTTGCCTGCAAGATTATGACATGACATTGATAAATAAGACTTAATTTAAAAGCACCGAAAGTAACAGACCCCGATTGGCTAATGCATATATTGTGTACAAATACAATGTATAACACTAAAATTAATTAATTCGGTGAATAAAATAAATGGTGAACACGTAGATTTAATTAATTAAGAGGAAAGAACTCCTAACTAATCAAGCAACACATCTGATTGAATGACGCATTATAGATTTTTTTTCCCCGATTCTGAAACAGATCAGATGATGAGGGACCAAATGGATATGTTTCTTTAACTAGTTTGAAATCAACTACTCATTCTTTTCCATAAAGAAACTCGATCGCCACTATTTGATTATTTTAATTTATTAATTACCATACATGAATGTGTATGTGTGGACTCAAATCAATGATTCCAGTTTTAATCCTTAAAATAGAAATATGAAATTGATGTTTTGAATTTGATCTGTTTCATAACTCTTTTCCTTGTTTTCCTCTTATGATATAATATAATATATATATATATATATATAATATAATTATATATATAAGTTATTGATGATACTTTGGAGCAGTGAAACAACAGTTTAAAAAAAAAAAAACAAGAGGGATTTGGATCTAAGTCCACTCACCCCACCAATGTTTTACATGGCACCATAACAAACTGTTTAATTTACTTGAATGGCTATTATAGATTTTATTATATAATATTCAAAAAATTTCAAATTTCAAATTTTTAGAGAGGATGAGCAGTGTTTAAAAATTGAGGAAAAATGTAGTTAAGAATGGAAATAATTTTTTTTAAATATGTGATTTACTTTTACATGGCCCAAAAAGTAGTATACATTAAATCCTGATGAGGAAGAGAAAACCAACTTCTGAAATATATATATATATATATATATATATGTATACATATAACTAAAATATTAATTACATTTAAATTTCATTAGTGAT